GCTGAGGAAATGGTTTCGAGGACTGGAGCACATGCTTTACATACAAGACCTAGGATCCTGGGGACATTGATGGTGGAAAATGTACACTGGTGGAGGGATGGGTGTTTGATCGTTGTGTGACTGAAACTCAATCATACAACTGAGCTTTGTGATTGTAGCTCACAGTGATTCAGTTAAAAACAAACAAACAAACCTAGGATCCCTGACATCATATGGTCTCTGAGTACTGCAGGGGCCCACCCCCACTTACTGAGATTTGAGTAGCCCCCAGACACTGCTGGTTTGGTCCTCAAACTGCCACCACTGCTGAAAGTAGATAAAGGATCAAACATGATGGCCTCTCAGTATCTGTATTGCAAACTGTAATGCCCAAAGTGGAGAGAGAGAAAGAAGGAAATTTTCTGCCATAGAGGGTGGGGGTGGGGTTGGATGGGAGTGGCGGGAGGGATACTGGGGATATTGATGGTGGGAAATATACACTGGTGGAGGGATGGGTTTTCAATCACTGTATGACTGAAACTCAATCATAAAAACGTTGTAACTGTATCTCACGGTGATTCAATTAAAAAAAAATCTATATATTAAAAAAAAAACTGCTACCACCAACCACCAACAAATGATGGCAAGGAGGTGGAGCAGAGGGAATCTTTATGTACTGTTGGGTACTGTACACTGATACAGCCACCATGGAAAACAGCATGAGGTTCACACAGATTTGAAAACAGAATGAGATGGCCTAGCAACTCCACTTCTGGGTATTTATCCAAAGGAAATGAAAACACTGAGTTGAAGTTATGTGCAGCTCTATGTTCATTGTGGCATTATTTATGATTTCCAAGCAGACTCCAGATTAACTTCCGACTGCAATTTTCTTTGTGTAGTCGTCTTTGGTAGAGAGCCTGGGCAGGATGTGGGTGGACAGAGAGAGTTTCCCTCCTCTTCAAGTCCTACATTTTGTTTATTTTTAAAGTTTTCTGTGCAGGAGACCATGTGGGGCCAGAGAACTCTGTTTTCACCGTTGAATGTGTCTACTACAGCCTTCTCTGTTGGGGCTAGGAAGATCATACAGAATGCCAGAGGTCTAACCCGGGTCAGCCACATGCAACAGAAGCATCCTTCCAACCGTATTATCTCTCCAAGACCCATATCTTTTTAGTAACTGCCATTCTAAGAAGTTAGAGGTGATAATCTCATTTTGGTTTTGATTTGCATTTCACTTACAAACTAATGATAATGAGCATCATTTCTCTCGTCAGAGTGATTTCTCTGGCTTCTAGTGTTATCTTTCATTTTTATTTTGTGTTCTGGGCTACACCTAGAGGTGCTCAGGTGCTGCTACTTCCAGTTCAGTAGTTGGTGGTTGTTCTTGGCGATGGCTTGGAAGATAGAATGGTGCTGGGGGTCAAATCCAGAGATTCTGCATACAAAGTTTGGCCTCTTACCTGTTGAGTGAGTTCCCTGACCCTAACATTTTCATGTAATTTAATGCTTTATGATATTTTGCCTGTATTTTAAAATTTGTTTTCATCTTTTTTTTTTTTTTTTGGCCTTACCCAGTGGTGCTGAGGGCTTGTTCCTCGCTCTCGGCCCAGGTGTCGCTCTGAGCAGTGTTTATGTAGCGCTGGGGATCAAACCAGGATCAGCCGCATGCAGCGCAAGCACTTAACTCCTATACCATCCCTTAGGCCCTGCTTTTATTTATTTTTTAATAAAAATTTTATTTTAAAAAGTTTTTGGACTGCACTTACCTAGCAGTGTTCAAGGCTTTCTCCTAGCTCTCACTTAGAGATCACTCCTGACAAGCTCTGGGGACCAATATGTGTAGGGTGTTAGGGATCAAACCCCGGTCAGCCACAGGCAAGGCAAGTGCCCTACCCACTGTCCTACCTCTTTAGCCCCTGCTTTTATCATTTTATGATTGAATTGTAATTGCTGAAATATCTTCATGGGACAAATGGAAAAAACTATCTATCTTTTTTTTTTTTTTTTGGCCTGGGGAGTCAAAAATAGCTCCAAAGAATATACAGGAAGTAGTGACAGCATTTGCTGTTAGGTCAGGAAATGGGTTGACTGCTGCACTTCTGTGCTTTGTGGATTTGAACTTTGGAATTGACAGTCCTTGAACACCTATGATAGTAGAGGTGGGAAATAGTCAAAATTCCCAGTAACTTTTTTTTCTTACTTTTTATTACGAAGAAAGATTAAAAAAAAAAAAAAAGACCTGGTCTGCTTAATGCCTAGGGACTTCCAGTGTCTTTTTTTTTCCCTGTGGATTTTATGACCCGGTTTGAGGTTAATAAACCTTTATGCATAATTGCTTTCATAAGAGCATACTTATTTGTTAGAAATGTGACACAGTTTCAGTTGGTGTATTCTGAAAACCATATCAGGGGCTGGAGCAATAGCACATATTTGCCGTGCACGCAGCCGACCTGGGTTCAATTCCCAGCATCCCATATGGTCTCCTGAGCACCGCCAGGGGTAATTCCTGAGTGCATGAGCCAGGAATAACCCCTGTGCATCATCGCTGGGTGTGATCCAAAAAGCAAAAAAACCCAAAAAACAAAAAAACCAACCATATCAGAGCTGACTGAGTGAGGTCATTCCCAGTGCTCCCATAGGAGTGGTGACTTTGCCCTTTGCCCTGTTGTTCCTGATAAGCATGAACACTGACCTTCTTTCCCCAAGAACAGAACTGGGCCAGGGACTTCTACTACCAAGGACTGGAAGGTGGGAAAAGGAAGTTTATTGGCCTTGCAAACTTGGGAAATCGCATACCCTTCCTTTACCTGTTTCTTCAATTGTAGAGTTGGATTATAAGCAGCCTATTTTACGTTTTCATCTTCCTATTTTACTTTTGCTTTGTGGAAGACGGGGGCTGATGCCAATTAAAGAGAGCTGGTTGGAGAGTTGTTGTATCTAAGTCATCTAGCACAGAGCCAGCTACCTCACGTAGGTATTTAAAATGGCAGTATCATCATTATTGACATTATTGATAAGGAAGATTCTTTTCATTGGGAATGAGAGCTATTTAGGGGAAGGAGTGTGTCCATTTGATGTATAACAAAATATCGTACATTTGGGGACTTTGAAGCAACAATGAAAGCTGTTCTCAGAACTCAGTTGTTTGGCTGGGCTTCTTCTGGTCTCATTAGACTTGGCCATGTCACTGTTGTCAGGTCACGACTGGCATGGTTGAATGGTCTCAGGTGGCATCACTCCCAGGTCTTGTAGCTGCTATTGTTGGTGGGAATGTACGGGTTTTCCCTCACTTGGCTTCTCCCCCCTCCCTGCCTCTGGGGAACAGACTTACAGCAAGGCAGTCCCTGAGCACTGTTCTTGGAGGATGAGCACCAGTGCTGGCTTTGCAGTTGCTTGTTCCTCACTGCTCAGAGCAAGTTAGAGAGTCCTATGGGAGCAGACGGGGGGCACTGCCATGGTGGGGACGAGCTGTGAAGAATTGATCACCATTTTTTAACGTAGCTTGTTTGGTCTGCCTCTTGCACTAATATTGGACCCAGAAAGAATGATTCCCGCCCCCCACAATCCCCACCCCCTTCCTGTATCATTGGAATGTTATTTAATCCAACGTGCAATTCTGCTCAGGCGCTGGAGATAATCATGTTTATTCTCTCCAGTTTTATTTTGCGCAAAGGCCATCCTTGTGGGTGCTTGGGGCTACTCCAGTCCCTGTGCTTGGTATTGCTCTTGGCAGTGCTCAGGGAGCTATGCAATGCTGGGGATCGAACCTGGGCCTCCTGCATGCTTTGCACATGCTCAACCCATTGAGCAATCCCCCTGGAGATCCTTATGCTTGGACTGAAAATGGGAATGAACCGTGAATAGCTGGTGTTTGTGTATTTTGTAGATAGTCATGTGAGATAGTCTTTTTGAAGACTGTCCAGCCCCCAGTTCTCTGCCCTGCTAAAGAAGATATCAGGGCTTTGAAGGAGTGTTTCCTCATTAAATGGTTCCTGTTGGTATGAGACATCTCAGATTCTAGAACTTGATAGAGTATGCTTCTTTTTTAGGCTGAAAATAAGGGTGGGATCACGTTAAAAAAAAAAGGAAAAATTTCTGTGCTTAGACTAAATACGATTCCCTCCAAAATAATTTACATTTTTGTAGTTTATAAATGCAGAGTTACCTGCTGGATCTCTTGAGAGTTGTGACTTATTGTTGCAGAGATGACTATTTCCATTTAATCCAGTACAAGAAATTGAAGAAAGAAAGAAATGTGTGCAAATTGCTTTGGCAAGTTAAAGGTTAGCTGGGTCAGCATGTTCAATTTGTTTGATGAAAATAATTTCCCCTAGTGTGGTTTTGAGATCTCTTTATTTTAGGAAGCCCAAATGGTGTGATGTCAGTCGAGAATACTGTGTCAGTAACAGATCAGAATGGGAACCCGTCTGCTTTTCTCTTTCCAACTCTTTGTTGAGGGAATGGGGAGACAGGGGCTCCAACTCACTCAGTTGCTCATCTGCTGAACAAGAAATCTAATGTGGGCGATGCCTTTGACTTCAGTTAGTATAACCAGCCAAGCCACTTGAGTCAATAGTGTTACTTGTGTGTGTGTGTGTTATATTTTTACTTTTTAGAAACCTGAGAATGCATAAGCTCACTGCCTACAGTGATTCAGAGGGGAGTCTGGGTTTCGGGAAGCAAAATGAAAGCTACAAATAAATATGCAAACTAAAGCAGAAGACGGTTTTTCTGACTGGTACATTTACAAGCTGGAAAGTTGTGAAAAACATCAACCCACCAACTGTGTAGCTCATTGACTCTTTACTTTGGGCTCTGATGTTCTTCCTGATAAAAATAATAATTATGTTATTCTGGTATGGTTGCCAAGTATTCATGCTTCTCCCTCTGCTTGTGATTGTAAATGATTCTGCAGTGTGTCCCACTCTGTCACTGATTTGGTGTTTTATAACATTTGGATATTATGTTTTCTGTGCTGATTTGTCGTCCACTTCTCTCTCTCCCTCTTTTTTTTCCAGAATGGACTGCTGAATTATGAAGTATTTCAGACCCACTAGTAGAACATCACCCTGCCACGCGCTCCTTTATCTCCTACTAGTTATTTAAATTGGACTTTTAATATCCTACCAGCTGCTCTTCAGACACACATGGTGCATTGTTGCCATTCCCCGGATTGCATCTTTGAAACACAGACTCTTAGTAACCTTCAGCAAACAAAGAGGCAACCTCCCGGGTTTGCTGACTGGGAGGGTGTCACCCCGACTGCCCTCTAGCTCTCGGCTGGCTCTGGATTTGAATTTCACCATGGAACCTCGCATGGAGTCCTGCCTGGCACAGGTGTTGCAGAAGGATGTGGGGAAGCGGCTGCAGGTCGGCCAGGAACTTATAGACTATTTCTCAGACAAACAGAAGTCTGCTGACCTTGAGCATGACCAGACCATGTTAGATAAACTTGTGGATGGACTTGCTACCTCTTGGGTGAACTCTAGCAATTACAAGGTAAGCTGTGCTTTGGAAGGTGCTCTTAGCAGTGACTGGGGCTGCCCGGGATCACAGTTGGTCCTTAGGGGGGGAAAGATGCTTTGTGAGCGGTCAGCATCATGACTTCGCTCCCAGTGAGACACTCAGACGGTGGCTTTAGGACTTTTCCATTCTAGGGCAAGTTGAGCTTTCTTTGATTTTTCTTGGAGATGAACAAAATCCCAAGAGAAGGACAAGTGAACAGATAAAGAGAGGCTTTTATGTTGGAAAGTTTACAAGCATCCGGCCTTGAGGTTATAAAGTAAATGATTGTGTCTTGAAGCAAAGGGGTCATAAGACCTTGGTGGTAACCCTTGAAGAATAGCAAGTGTCTTCACTGACTTTTGCTTTCGGGAATGGAACTGGCAATGAAAGGGACAGTCCTTCACATTTCAGAGCACTGTTCTTTAGAGACCCCAGGTATCGGGCCAGAAAAACACAGATTGTTCAGGACTCTTGTGACCAGCATGTAAGGTCTGGACTAGATGACATCTTTTGGGTTTTAAAGCTCAAATCTGGTCATAAGGCTTTGGGAGATTGGGGGAACTTGACCCAAATGAGTTGTGAAGATGGGTTAAATTTCATGAATAAAAATTTCATGAATAAAAGTTGTGCTTAACTTGAAATGCTGAAGTGGTGTCTTTTCTCTCCTCACCCACCCTCCCCTTAGTCTGTATATGTCAAAAGGGGCCCATGGGGAGCAAAGCTGAGCTGGAAGGCAGAGTGGGGCATTTGTATGACAGCTGATAGAGGCTGGACACATTGTAAGAGGTGCTTACAGAAACACAGTTTTTTTTTAATTGCTTTTCTTTGAGCTAGTATGCTGAGACTGGTTTGCAGTTGGAAACTGGCTCTTAAAGGATTTCTTCGTTTGATCTAATACAGACGGTTTTCCAAATACATGAAGCTTTGGCTTCTCCTGAGCATCAGCAGGCTTTATACTTGGTTAGGATGTGGCCTAGTGTCCTGATATATCATTTATAACCTAAAACAAGATGTAACCTTCCTATCTGTGAAACTGCACTTGAATTCTATTCATTCACCCAAGTAAACCTGCCCATTTGTGTTTGGCATTGGTGATGAATGGGGGGTGGGGACGGAGGATATTGGGAAAGGGAAAGTGTCACACTTTTGGGGTCTTTGAAGTTGCCTTGTCTCTGTTGATATCACGGTGCCGCCAGCCTCTGTGTGCATGTTAGGGTACTGCTGACTGAGAGTAACCAATAACTGAAATTGTGGTCATTTATTTATGGTTTTGGGGCCACACCTGGCGGTGCTCAGGGCTCACTCCCAGTTATGCTTGGGGGATCATGTGTGGTGCGGTTGATTGAACAGTGGAAGACAGGCATCTTTCCTGCTGCCTTCTCTCCCCATTCCCTGCAATTGTCTTCATTCTAAGAAGGCCAAAGTAGCAAAGGCAGTGTCCAAGGAAGGAGAGGGTCTGCTTGTGTCATTGACTGGGAGGGAAACTTCTCTCAGAAGCTCCACAGCGGACTCACATGCTGTGGGCTAGAATGGCACCACTTGCCCACATTGTACAATCCCATTCCATCACATAGTCACGTTCTGCCCTCATGCTAACATCTTGGTCTTTTTTGATTTTTTAACTTATATTATGCCAAACACAGTAACAACAAAGTCTCAGATGGAGATGTTACTGGGCCCGCTCGAGCAAATCGATGAACAAAGGGAGGACAGTGTCAGACAGTGTCAGATAACTTATTTGTAGTTTTTTGGGACACACCCATAGGTGCTCAGGGATCACTCCTGGTGGGGATCGGGAGACTGTATGGGGAGCCGGGGATCAGATCAGGGCCCGTTGCGTGCAAAGCAAGCGCCCTCCCTGCTATACTGTCCCTCCAGATCCCTAACTTCCTGGTCTGATGAATCAGGCCTCCCTGAATTGAGTCTGTGGCCATGTGAAGGAGGAGGGTACTAGAGCAGGTGCAGACTCCTGTAAGATGGAGGGGGTTGACAGTGAATGGTGAATGAGTCGCTTAGAGTCAGAATGAGTTTTCCTGCTCTCTCCCCTCCATCAGCTTCCCCGCTGATGCTGTTGGCCGTGTAGACGGTCGCTGTCAGTCAGAGAGTGTCTATTCCATGCCCTGCTCAGCTGAAGCCCCAGACACGAGCACTCTTTATTCAGCCTTGTTTTCTCTCTTTAAGTTGCTCCTACACTTTGGGTAGAGGAAATGAATAAATAACTAGAGATGGGGCTGGAGTGATAGTACGGCGGGAATTTGCCTTGCATGTGGCCAACCTGGATTTAATCCCCGGCATCCCATATGGTCCCCCAAATACTGCCAGGAACAATTCCTGAGTGCAGAGGTAGGAGTAACCCCTGAGCATTGCTGGGTATGGCCCCCAAACTAACTAAAAATAAATAGAGAAAGTGATAGTCCAGTCCAGAGAATGCAGTGATAAGATACGCAGAATTTGGTGGGTAGGCAGTCTGGCCACAAAAAAAGAAAAAAGAAAGTAGTGACAATGTGCAGAGGAATCCCGATTTGCCGATTGGGACATTTTCTCTTCACTAGCGTTTGCAGGGGCACAGAGGAAAACAAGTCGAAGATATGACCCTTTGTGGAGAAATTTCCCAGACAGTACTTGGTGTGATGGAAAGACAAGAAGGCGGTTTGCCTGACTTCCTCTGGCCTTGAACTTTATCTGTTTGCCCATCTGGAGTGCAGATGTTTGCCTTGCAGTCCTCTTTGGTGCTTCTTTCTCCTCTTCCACAGCACTGAGCACCTCCTGCCCCCTTGTTTATAAGCTAAGTGGTGACAAAGTGCTTCCTTCTTGTCTGTGCTGGAACACAGTAAGTTCTCAACAAATCCTGCTTACGTGAGTGATGTCTGGACTTAAGCTCAGCAAATGTTTCTGGCAGCATCATGGAATCTGGAAACTTAACTTTTCTGAGTTCCCTAACCTCCCTCCCCCTCCCCCATCATAGATCACAATTCCTCATTCGGAGCCTGAGACTGAGGTGAATTTTAGATTTTTACCTGACATGTTTATATATTATGCATTCAAGGGATTCATTTTACATCCAACCAAGCTTTGAAGTTCGACGTTTTAGAAAGATGTCTTTCTGGCCCAAAGGAATAGTGCAGCAGGTAGGGCTCTGGTCTTGCCCGTGGCTGACCTGGGTTCAATCTCGAGCGCTCCATATGGTCCCCTGAGCCCCACCATGAGGGATCGCTAAGCACAGGACCAGGAATAAGCCTGAGCCCCACTGGATATTAGCCCAAACAAAACAACAACAACAACAAAACACACTTCTTCGATGGGCGGGAGAGAACCTCCGTGGGCTGTGTATATAGCACATGCTTTGCATGCAGCAGGCCTGTGCTCCATCTTAGGCACCCCAATCCCCTGAGCACCAAGCCTGGAAATGTCCCTAGACACTGTTGCGTGTGACCCCAGTACTAAAGCCAGCAAACTAAGCAATCGAACAAAACAAAATACTTTCCTAAAATTAAGGTCTAAAACTGAAGAGAAGAAAAGTGAAATAATTTGGTTTCCCTAAGCAGGAGTGTGTAGGTACTGTTCCTCCTGATTTGGGTGGGTGGGGGATTCTCCCTTATACTGATGCTCCTGGCACAGTACTCAGGGGTCATGCCTGGTGGTACTTGGGGTGTCGTGCAGTATAGGGATCACATCCAGAGCTTCTGCATGCGAAGCATATACACTTTGCTATTTCCCTGATGTCTGCTACTTCTTTTCTTATTTTTGAGGGGCGATTGTGCTTGTAGCTCTAGCTACTCCTTCCTCTGCGCCATGCCCTGTGCTTGTTCTTGGTGATGCTTGTGGGACCACGTGGTGCCAGGGATTAGCTGCATGGATATTCCTTAAACCCTGTGCTCTTTCCAGCCTGTATTCCTTTTCTTAACAGGGAATATAGATGAATGCCCATAATTGGGTGAGGCATCAGCTTTTACCCAGTAAATTCAGTGTCTTATTTAGAAGTATGTTTGTGGGACGTAGGTTCAAAGGGCTGTAGCACATGTTTCGTATGCCAGAGCCCTGGATATGATTCCAGACGCTGTGTGGTTCCAAGAGCACTGCCAGAAGCAACCCCCTTACGCCAGGCTGGGAAAAGCTCCTCCCTGAGTGCGGCTCAACAAACAAAATAAATATATTTGTCTGGAGCTTGAGTTACGTTACCTTTGCATCTTTTTCAATGTGGTAGACAAATTTGTATTGGTATTAATTGCAATTTAATAGCTACTACTTATTGCTTGCCCTGTGGTAGGGATTTAATCGGTCTTATCTCATTTAATCTTCTTAACACCTGAGAGGTAGCTGTTGGTAGCCCAGTGTTATGTCTATGTAACTGAGATTACCCAGCATCCCGATGGTTTGGAAAGTGGGATATAAGTATAGGTCTTTGAGTTTCTAGCTAGTGTTTTTGTTTCATAAGAGAGTCACCAAACTTTGCTAAAGGTTGTAGAATTTTTATAGAAATGGCTGGAGAGCCCCTGTTGGCCCCTGGACAATAATTTTCTAACCTCTGCACTAAACTCTTGAGCACTTACTATGTGTAAACACATTTTCTTAGTGATAGGACCCATTTGTGACTCATGTAGGAGGAAACTAAGGTTAAAATTTTTGGACTAGAGAGACTGTACAGGGCTTAAGGCACTTGTTTTGCACATGCTTGACCCCAGTTTGATTCACTGCACCCCATATGGTTCCCTTAGCGCCAACAGAGGTGACCTTTGAGCACAGAACCAGGAATATTCCTGAGCACTGCCAGGTGAGGCCCTTACACAGAAGAGGGTACCGGACTTTGGGAGGCCGAGGGAGCTGAGAGACTCACCCTGTGCAGCTTGTCCAGTGATTCTGGGAAGTTCTGATGGCACAGTGCCAATCAGCTTAGCTTCTTGCACTATGGGCACGAAGCTTGCCCACTGGGGAGCAGGTGCTGTAACCCCAAAGACCTCGCTGCACTCGTCCACAACCTAGCAAACTCTGGAAAC